AGCAACATGGATGGCGCTGGAAGGGATCATGCTCAGTGAAATAAGCCAAAAAGTAAAAGAAAAATACAGGATGGTCTCACTCATAGCAAGAATCTAGAAAACTTAAATAAGGGACCAGCAGAATGACTAACTATAAGAAAGTGAAAATCAAAATCAACAAAAAATTATGAACCAGAGACACTTTTTGGGGGTGGGGGGTGGGAGGGAGGGATTGGGGTCAGAGTGGGGGGTTGCAATTGTATGGGGAATATAAAAATAAAATTATTATTTAAAAAAAAAAAGATAAACTCAAGCCATTCGCAGCAATGCGGTTGGAGCTTGAAGGAATTACGCTCAGTGAAACAAGTCAGAAGGAAAAAGAAAAATATCAGATGGTTTCTCTTATAGGAAGAATATTGGGGAACCAAATAAGACATCAGTGCAAAAACAACAATAACAATACACGACAAAGCAAAACAAAAACAGACTATTATAAACCAGAGACATCCTGCAGGGGAGGAGGAGGGAGAGGGATCAGAGAGAGGGAGGGAGGAGCACAGGAGACTGTGGTGATGGAGCACGGGTGCATTGGTGAAGGAAATTCTATGGGAATTACACATAAGGGGGTGGGGGAAGAAAATACTATTTAAAAAATACTATTAAAAATATGTAAAAAAATATGTAAAAAAAATATGTAAAAAATATGTAAAAAAAAATATGTAAAAAATTTTTAAAAGTGAAACAAAAGGATAGGAGATAAAATTTAAAAGGTAATAGAGAAAGTACCATAAAGGAATGAGTGAAAGATCTAATTACAAGTAACAAACAGCAAAGCTTACCCTTTTACCTTTTGCAAAATATACTAGAACCTATCCTTGACAAAGAGGATTTAAAGAGGATTAAAAGCCCTCAGTGGCTTTTCTGGCTTTTAATGATTTTATACACTATTTTTTAGTGAGGCAAGCAGGGGCAGGGCCGGGAGGCTGGCAAGCCTCCCAGTCCCTGTGAATATTTGCTCTCTCTGCACTCTCACTGATGTTCTCAGGTGGTCTCTCCACCAATTTCCACCACACCATCCTCTGTGACACTGTCCTTATATGCTCAGACTCTCAGCTCACTTATGCATAATGTCATTCATTCCAGTGCATGACTTGTTAGGAATTGAATTGCAGTATTCTGCTGCTGATGATGCAGTTACAAATAACTGGTCTCTCTTTGTGCCCCATGAGATAAGCATTACCAGATCTGTTTTACCTCATACTTCATATATCTGGATCCAGCATGGTCTGGTCTTGGTGTCTGGTCTTGCACTCCGAAAACAGACAAATAAAGAAATCAAGAGTTAACCACCTGGGCCTCCCTGGTGGTGCAGGGAGTTAGTTTCAGCACTATGAAGCTATCAGCAGCCACTGCAGCAGGAGTTCAATCCCCAGCCAGGGAGCTGCACAGCAGACCTCTCATGTCTTGCCCACTGCTCTTCTCAGCAGAGTATTTCAATAGATGCACCTGTTCTGCTCCCCACTCTGTCTCTGGTGAATCCTCTCACCACCACCACCACCACCCTGCATACCTCTTGCCTATTCCCCAGCTCTTGTATGCATAAAGAAAATAAATCTTAAAAAAAAATAAATCAAGAGTTTACTATAAAATTAACCAATAATGGATTGGTATGATTATAAAGCTGACTCAAATAACATTTTGAAGAATAGGTTCTTTATTGTCCAGCAAGAAATGTAGTGGAAATAAGTCTTCTAAGTTAGAGGGGAGAAAAGTGGTTAATATTGTATGGGGCAATACAATTGTAGTCTTTGAGGTTATTTTTGTTACAGGGCAACACCAATGTGAACCCTGCCCTTAAAAGGGACTTATAATGAGATTCAACTGTCAACAGTTACAGTGCAACCCCAATGTACCTGACTGTGGGTCCTCACCCACATGCTTAAAGGGACTTATAATGAGACTCAACTGCAGGCACACACAAAAAGGTTAATAAAGTGTTTACATACAAAAACAGGAAAATGGAGAAATGAATAACTCAAGCAGAGAGAGATAAATTGGTGAATGTGTCCTACCAGTTCCACTGAGCTGAAACCCCAATAGCATACTGAAATCCAGCAAAAATCCAAGAGACCCCCAAGGCCCACATGTCTGGTTATATACAACCCTGGCTGCTTAACCCCACCCTCAATTCCCAGCAACCCTCCCTTCTGTGATGATAACATTATGGGATTTGTAGCCCTTGGTGTCTTGGATCTCCTTGGTCTGTGGTGGGGATAAGGTCCATAAAACTTATTTGTGGAGTTTGTTCAGAACATCCTTCCCCCCACCCCACAATTCCTCTATGGAACAGATGACAAGTAACTTCACAGAAAACAAGCATTTCATTAGTGATAAAAATCAGAGTCAATTCTGGGAGCATTTCCCTGATAGTATATGATCTTTGTACGAAACTATTAATGCCAAAGTTGACACTGACATAGGATATGAGTTTGCCTGTTTCCAGGTTTTAAATAGTTTTTGTTAATAACATATGAATAGTTAATGGACCATAGTTGAGCAGCTACTAAGACATGAATTTTGAAAAACACAGCTCCAGCAGCCAGCAGAGAGGGGGTTCCGGGGGGTTGGGGTAGGGGTGGTGCATGGCCTGTGGCTTAGTTACCCCACTCATGAATCTAGGGATTCACAGAACTGGGGCCTCAAGAAAGAGGCCAAGAGCCTCTCAAGACAGTGAAGTGACCTCTGCCCAAGAAAAAACACAATTGGAGATTGTGGCTTACAAGGTCCACAACTTAATGTGTCAATGTAATAAAAGTAGCCAGGATAAAAGTCTACTTTCTGTGTAACTAAATGGTTTCCTAAAACAATCACAAAAAGCTCAGAAAAATACTTTGCACTTTGATTAATATAACTTCCAATATAAACTGATTAGAAAATGTACACAAAGGTCCGTTTTTTAATCAGGCAATTCTGACAAAATTCTATCATAGTGAGACCTTAATCATGTCTTATGAATTACTGAGGTAGCTGGCTGGCTTGCTTAGAAGGATGACTCCTAGTTTGTGTGGATAATTCATATCACGTATATACCTGCTTTTTCTCTCTATTTCAAAGAAATGTGTCTGGAGCTCATCCAGAAGTAATACAGTATCATAAGGGTACAAACTAAATGGAAAGGGGAATATATATATGATGGAAAACATATTAATATACAAAATACTTAAAACTCACACAAGGAGCCTGAAGAACATATTTGCATGACTTTATTTTGGGGGTGATCCTATTACGAGGATTTGTAAATGTCTCACACCGTTCCCACACAGTGTGTAGTGCTGTGCCCTCCCATTGGGATATTGGAGAGATTCCCTGGAAAAGTGCCTGCTGCCAAGGGAGAGAGAGGGCCATCTGCAGGCCTGTGGAGTCACATCGTAGGATCCAGAAGAAAAGAAGCATGACCAGGAGAGAGGCGAGTCCTCACCTGTGACTGGAGTGCCCCCTCCAGGGCTCATCCTGACACTGCACAGGTGGCAAAGGGGACATGCTCCTGGGATCCAGCTCCAGGGTCACAAAACAGAGCAAATACAGGATGGATGTGGAGCCAACACTGTTATATTATTTACTGCTCAGATTCAGTCACAATCCCTTTGACTATTGTGTTACCTAAAGTCTATAATAGAAACATAACCTCCAACAAATTTTATAAAGTATAAGGGTGAGAAAAGAGAGGAAGATATGGTTGATATAAACAAATAGCACAATACACACACACACACACACACACACACACACACACACACACGAAGCGAAAGAACATGCAAAGCTGTGACACTCTGAAATAGCTGGTTACTGACCAGAACCACCTTCCTCCTCTTCCTGTCCCAAGTCTCCTCTCCCTCAGCCAACACACAGCAGGCCAGAGTTCTCTACCTGATGGAGTAAACACACCTTCACTAGCAAGGTCTGAGTCCTTGCTAGTCCTGCCCTTCTGTCGGCTGTGCTTTTCCATGAACCTTCACCTTTGAACTTGATAACTGAACCATGCTGGAGGTGAAAGGTCTCTGTGGTTCACTGCAACTGAAAGGACTCTGCTTAGTCACCTCCCAATTAAGGCAGCAGCTCCCTTCTTTCTACCTGGTATTGACACAAAAGAACCCAGATCCTTTTTCTAAATCCCCTAAATTAACACAGCACATTTTTACAGGTAACAGAAATTTCCTGATTCAGAAAACTAGGTGTACCTCCTCCATTCAAGAATAGGAAAAAAGAGGAGAAATGAGACGATTCTCATAAAAACCTATCAGCCAGCTATCTCCCTAGAAATTTTGGATGACCAGCTTTTCTGGACACAGACTATAGGACCCCCAAAATAGAGCTGGGACCGCAATTTTAGCCTAAGATTCCTCTACACAAATTCAAATTAGATAAAGTAAACTGTTTTATTCTTCAGAGTAATTCAGTATTCATCCCTTTTCTTCTCCAAGTTACATGGAAATACCATGAAATATATTTCATTATCAAAAAATTTAAAACCTCTTCCTATAGGAAAAGTCAGCCTATAAGAAACTACTACAAACAACAGTGAAAGTTTTCTTCTGTTGCTGTGCACATGGCACAGCTACACTTCAGGGATCTGTCCTCAGAGCAGGAGGATGAGACTCTCTGTCGCCCAAGACTTACTCAGAGGCTGTGCCCAGAGAGTGTTCACTCAAAGAAGAGGCTCTGTGAGGGGAAGGGACAGTGATGGTGCCCTAGGGTTACACAGCCTCAGAGTTGCATGGAAGAAGGGAAGTTTCAGGCCCTGGGGGAGCCCCATCCACATCAAAGCCTGAGAGGATCCCCTTCCCTGAGGGACCCATAAGCTCCTCCAGAGAAGGAGAATTGTTTATCTGCACAGAGGGCTTCTGGGGCCCAGCCTCCAGGGGGCAGAGGGTCATTGACATGTCTCCTGAGACACATTTGAAGTATGGAAGAGGGTCCCAGAGAAGGACTCAGGAGGAAGGAGAAGATGTGGGAGCCATCAGTCATGTCATAGAAGGAGACGTCCCTTGAGCATAGTCCAGGAAAACCCCCACCCTGTGGGGAACCTGCCTTAGGGATAGCAGAGTGTTATCAATCGTAGAGGGATAAAATCCTGAATCAAAATGCCCCATAGTCCAAAACCCCTTTTCTGGGATCTCTTTATACCAGCCTTTCCTGTTCACATCACTCCTACAGACCCCCAGAGTCCACACATTTCTGTCTCCATTCTTGACCTCCACCTCCCAGTAACAGCGTCCTGATGTGATGCCTTCAAGGCCCAGGATGCTGCAGGAGTCTCCTCCATCCTCACAGGAGTCCTTCAAGGTCAGAATCTTCTTGTCAGGAGAGAGGACAATGCTGTCATGAGAGGAACCTGGATCTAGAGTGACAGACCCTGCAGAGAGAGGAACAAAGTATGCAAGGACACCCTGACCTATAGCAAGGGCACACAGCTCACCCCAGTCCATTAGCTGCATGGGGGGAAGAAGGATGCAGGGGAGAGATAAACTCCATGAGATGAGAGTGTTGTGACTTAAGCCCACAGTCCACTAAGCAGGAGAAGGAACCACAAGGCTGACTTGGGGGTTAGATGTGTCACATGGCCATATAAGGACCAACTGGACCAATATCAGGCACATCCACCAGCCACAATTATGTGCGTATTACTGCCACATTCCACACCCCAACACTGATGGTGCCAGCATCTGTATCAACAAGGAGGACTGATAGAGAAGCCAGAAGCTTTAGGAACTGCAAGAGCATCCAGAAGGACACAAATTCACTCACAGGCCTGGAACTTCTCCTTCCGCCAATCTGCAAGAAATCACACATTTCATATGAGGGATGTGGAGACCCACACATCAGGACCAGCACCAAGTCTTCTGAAACATCATAATGAAAGGTACACAGAAAAAATGCTTTGGAAACATTAAGTTGATGAATTTCTTTCTCTCACATGCACAGAAAACAAACAACTACACTGAAACCTTCCTACGAAGGCTAAGCATGAATTTTAATACCCAGAGATTAAGTGACTGTGAATCAACTTGAACAGAATGGTTATTACCCATATTTGACTATTAAAGTAAGCTTTCAAGTCCCTAGTCTCACTTTTTTCTTGAAAAAGTAGTAGATAGATAAAACTTTCAAAGACTGCTATTACTTATAAAGAGCTGTTTGAGAAAAATTTAAAGTTGTTGCTAAGCCACAGGTAGAGAGAATTATAACTTGCCTTAGCTGAACATGGAAGATAACTATCAACTATGAGTGAAGGGAAGTCAGGATACAGCATCAGAGAAATCTTGCTCAGTAAGGAGACAAAAGAGAGGTTTTGAGGAAAGGAAAAAGGTTCAAAGGAGGAAGCAAAAAAAATGCATTGAGAGGATACATGTGACTTTTCTTACCTTTTTTTGTGGAGGAGGTAGCAAAAACATGTATACAGATACGGAAAACAAAACAAAACAAAAAAGATGGATTTAATCATCTACTCCCCCAAGTATCATTTAGAAAGAGTGAAAGCATAGAGGAAAACCCCTGCTGGGGTGAGCCCCCAAAGATGTCCATGTCCTAAACCCCAGACATGTCAATATGTCACACACATGTGCGCATGGCAACGTGAACTACAGCTGTGATCTAGATAATGAACTTCATGATGGAGATTAGTGTTAGTGTTCATGATTAGATTAGTGTTCAGGAATATTCAGGCAGGCCTAAATTAACCATGTTGAATCCTTAAAGCAAAGGGCTTTCTAGGCTTTGTACTCAGAGAAGTAGATGTGACAACAGAAGCAGAGACAGAGACATGCTGTGTTTGCTGGCTTGAAGACAGAAGAAAAGGCACATAAATGAAGGAATGCACAAGTCCTCTAGAAGCTGGGAAAGATCAAGAGTCTCCAGAAACAGAACACAGCCCTTGCTGCACATTGATGGAATCTGACCTACAGAGTTAGAAGACAATAGATCTGTGTTAGTTTCAGCTGCTAAGTTTTGGATAATTTGTGGCAGTTGAGAGAAGACTAATAAGCTCATGTATGGTGTGTGCCACACCCAGCATAGAATGAGGTCCTGGCAGAGAAAGGATCTGAGAAAACTTGAAGCCCCCATCACCTGCACAAAGACACAGAAAATCTCCCATGCTCTGCTGGAAGGTAGAGAACCAGAGGGGTACACAGAGACAGAAATCAGGGGAAAGCCTGGGTCAAGAGAACGAAGCTATAGACCATAGGCATCCAAGTGACCAAGCACATGCATTTCATGATGCAGTAAGGTGACGGGACCAAAAATGCCCCATACAGCTAGACAGGCCTGTGCCTCCTCCATAGACACCAAGCCCGGGACCTTAAGAACCATATCAGGCTGGCCTCCCCAGGGTGAGGAAATGAAATGATTTAAAAAAAAAAAAATCATGGGGAGCCCTCTGCCCCATTGTGGCCAAGGCCACATAATCTCCAACCACTATATTATCTTTGGGAAGAAGAAATGAAGGTCACTGACCAATGAAAGCTAATATATGTCCAAAGATACTGAAATGTCTTTATTGGGGAGAGTTATTGTCTCCAAAGGACTGAGACTCAGGATTAAGATTAGAACACTTAGGTAATGAAATGAAAAAAAAAAAAACATTTTCTTGCATAGTTGGGATGTAAATAGGTGACTATTATTTCCAATTAGAAAAGGTCATTCAGATAAATTGGTATTTTCATCTCTATGGATTTTCTAGACACAAGGAAGATCACATAAAATGTTGGGCTGACCCAGGGGACCCTCTGAGAAAAGTGAACTTTGATTTTCTTCACTAAGAAATTAGATGATAATCAACTATAAATTTTTATATAGCAATTGTTAGAGATTACCAAAGGAAAAGGAGAAAAATGAGAAGGGGAGAGAAGTTAGTTGGCATTTAAATTTGAGACTTGATAAAATATTGAGTATATCATTCATCCCTGTTTCTCACAGTATCTATGCCTGACAGCAAACAGCATCATCCAGAACCAAAAAAGGAAAAGCTACACAGACTGTAAAGGCACAGATCCTCACACACCCAGCCCTAAGAATCCTCTGGATTCTTCTCTGCAGCAGGACCTGCAGCTCCATCCCGCCTGACTGCTGCGCAGGCTCAGCTGGGCCCACCATCAGAGGCAAGAGCAGTTTGATGGTTACCTCAAAAATGGCTTAAATAAATAAGTCTTGGGGCCTCCCTGGTGGTGCAAGGGGTTAAGACACAACCTATGAAGACGCAGCCACTGTAGCACAAGTTCGAGAGATTTCAATAAAGACATTTATTTATTTATTTTTTAAAGATTTATTTATTTATGCATATAAGAATTGGGGAACAGGTCAGAGTTGTGGGGGGTGAGAGGATTCACCAGAGAGAGAGAGTGGGGAGCAGAACAGGCAGACTGACTGAAATACACTGCTGAGGGGAGCAACGGGCAGGATAGAAGTGGTCTGCTGCACCATGTGGGTAGCTCCCTGGTCGGGTATCGAACTTGTGCTGCAGTGGCTGTGAATAGCTCCATAGATTGCATCAAAGAGACACTGAGACCTAAGCAGACCAGCAGGATTTCTGGCATCTAGAGATCTGCAATTCCTGATCTACAAAACTATATAATTGTTAACCTGCTCAGTCTCTCCTCACACTGATCTCCCCACTGTCCTCAATCACAGGCAGGACCAGGTGACAAGGGGTCAGAGGGTGTCCTGACCTCACATGACCAGCAGGGAGGACAGGGCAGGTGGAGGCAGGTCTGGGCTTACAATGGGGTGGGAGGGGCCTGTTGTTTCCAGATGGAGGCTACAGAATGAGAACAGATCAGGGACCCAACAGTATCTGGTGGGGGTCCCTGATAGAGAAGGGGCAGAGGAGGCTGGGAGGGATTCCCAGGACTCTCAAGACCACTCACCTGCATACAGCTGGGCCTTCCTCCAGGCTGAAAGGAAACACACAGGTGAGAACGCAGCACAACCAGCTGCTCATGTGACCCACGGGCCCTGGTCTCCCCCTGTTCTGCAGGGGAGATTCTCTAGGGGGGTGGAGGGGAGAGGCTGAAAGGTCTTGACCTCCTGCCCTGTGTAGACAGCAGGGGATGGTGGGAAATCCCTGGCTAAGGTCAGAAGCCTGCAGGACAGAATGACCCAGCCCTGCCTGCTGCTGCTGTGAGGCTTTAGGCATGTCACTAAGTAGCTCTGGGCCTCAAAACTTAAAACATTCTTATTCTATCTTTGTTCAGTTTTGCGACTAAGGATCAAAATTTATACTGTCTGTGAAAATATTTTATGAAATAAAATATAAATTATTCCATATTGTAATAAAACATATATCCAGCATTTTCCTGGCAAAGAATGATTTAAGGATATGAGGCAAGCTCTGGGGTAAAAATCTCCAATCTGCCTCAGAGAAAACCCCGCTGTTCCGGAGTGCTGACAGCCCCCACCACACCCCACACATGGTCAACCCATCCACACTCAGCATTCATTGAATGCTGTCTTGGAGGCAGTGGGCAAAAGACCACACTCTTCGATTTAATGCCCCCATTAACATATCCACCTTTAATGAAACCTCAGGGCAGCTGTCTGTTGCTTCCAGGTGCTGACCAAGAATGAGATGCATGGAAGGCTAGAGAGCCAGCAGCATGGTGGGAAGGTCAGGGTTGGCATGAGACCAGGATGCACAAGATTCCACAGATTACCACACACCAGGATCCCCTGACTGGGTGGGATGCAGCCAAAAACTGGGAGAACCTGGGGACATGGTCTTGCCGCCCACCAGCTCCAGACCCAGGACCCCTGGAGCATCACTCACCAGCCAGGTAAGCTGCCTTCCTCTGGTCTGAAAGACAACACAGGAATCAGGTGAGGTAAAAACCAGAATGTCTCCTATGAAGGGGACACGGAGAGTTCAGGAGGGAGAGCAGAGCTTACCTAGAGTTGCCTGGAGTTCACCTGAAAGAGTAAAAACAAAAAAGCTTCAATTCCTGTCCCTAGGAAGAAAAATTGTGTGCCTAGAGGATCCACAAAACAAAAACTTCTCTGTGTCATAAAATTCCCATCTCCAGACCCATATGAGCCTCCAAGTTCCATTGATCTCTGGGACTCAGCCTCCTGCTCTGATCTCCCTATATAGTGGACCCTGGGCTCTGGCTCTGTGATCAGCTTGTCCCTCTCAGCACCCACTGCCACACTCACCACCCTGGCCCCTGTCCTGCCTTACCTCTGTCCTTCAGGGCCTCCTCCTTGGTCTGTCTATCCTCCTCTTTAGTCCAGCGCAGACTTCTCTGTTCCTGCAGCTCCCGCATCTGTGTGGAATGTTCTCTCCAAGTGTAGCAGGCAGCCCCCAGGAGCAGGAGCAGCAGCAAGGTCAGGATCACCAGGAAAGCCGGCTTCCAGGGAGAGACCCGGGGGAAGAAGGGCTCTGCAGACAGAGACCCCCACAGACACCCCATCAGGACACAGCCCAGGACAGCCCACCCCAGCTCACCTGGGGGTGCCCAGCCCCTGCTTCTGACCCTGGGGAGGGGGGAAAGTGCTGACCTGGGGTGACAATGGCCATGGCCTTCTCCTGGCCCAGGACAGGATTGAGGATGGAGCAGGTCACGCTCCCCACAGAGCTGTCTCTCACCACCAGAGCGGCCTTCACGCTGAACAGTCCCTCAGTGTCCTTGAGGTAGGCCTCAGAGAACTCGTGTAACTTTTCCCCATGGGGGTCTCTCCACTGCACCTGGGGCTTCGGGAACCAGCCCGAGGCTGTGCACACCACGTGCACCCCGTCCTCCTCTGGCCCTGTGATGTGCACTTGGGGGGCAGAGCCCATACCTGTGAAGGGAAGATTAGAGGCAGATGGGGCAGGACCCACCTGTGCACACCTCCAGGGCATTTGTCCAGGTGCATTCTGGGGAGTATGAGGAAAGGCTGCTGCCTGCAGGGACAAAGGCATGACCCACCCCCAGAGTCAGATGGATGGAGTATGGGACTAAAGGGGCACAGAGGACAGGGACTATCAGGTTGAAAGTCGATGTCCAAAGGGACTAAGAAATTAGTCCCAGGTTCATCCTAATCCTCCACCTTTCTCACCTCACACTCTCCCAAGGCCTCTTTTCCATACCAGCTTCCTCTTCTCTAAATCACTCCCGCATTATAATAATGACAACCCTACCTCAATTCCCTCCCTGAAATTAAGTCCCTGTGTGTTATCATTACGGTGATCCCTCACATACACTCACACTCAAATTCCAGAATGAATTAATGACTCTACCCCATCTGTGATAGATAAGCAAATATCCCCAATTCTTTCTTAATATTTCTAAATTTCTCTCTGCTTCATAAATTCTGGTATCTTCTCAACCCTGAATGGGGTCATGATTGCCTTGAGCTTGAG